TGGCTGGAACTCTGCCTAGGAATAAACTTAACCAAGGTGGTAAAAGACCTGTACTCAGAAAACAATCAAACACTGAAGATATCAAGGAACTCACAAATAAATAGAAGCATATATAGTGTTCATGAATTGGATTAATTAACATTATTAAAATGTCCATACTACCCAAGCAATTTATAGATTCAACACAATCCCTATTAAAATACCAATGACATACCACAAAGATATAGAAAATATATTTCAAAAATTTATATGAAACCTAAACAACCCCAAATATGCTTATCAATTTTGAGAAGGAAGAATGAAGAAGAGATAAAAAAAAAAACCTGATATCAAACTATATTACAAGGCCTCAGTAATCAAAACCGTCTGGTACTGGCATAAGAATAGACACATAGAACGATGGAACATAATACAAAGCCCAGAAATAAACCCATGTCTCTGTGGTCGAAGGCAGAGGCATAAAATGGAGTAAAAATACCCTCTTCAATAAATGGTGTTGGGAGATCAGGACAGGTGCATGCAAAAAACAAACAAACAAAAAAACAATGAAACTAGACCACCAACTTGCACCATACACCAAAACAAACTCAAGATGGATAGATAAATTAAATATATGTTGTGACACAATAAAAGTTCTAAAAGAAAACATAGGCAGAAAATTTTCTGATATTCCCACACAGCAGTATTTTTACCACCATATCACCTAGGTCAGGGGTGTCAAACTCATTTTCACTGGGGGCTACAGTAGCCTCATAGTTGCCTTCAAAGGGCTGAAATAATTTTAGGACTATATAAATGTAACTACTCCTTAATTGTGAAGGAGTTGAAGTTACATTCAGTCCTCTGAAGGCAACTGGAAGGCTGATGTGGCCCCTGGTGAAAATGAGTTTGACGGGATTTCCGCCAAGATGGAGGCATAGGTGGATGTGCCGTGCCTTCTCACAGAACCAAGTTTAGAGACAACTAAATATTAGCAACAGAAAACACAGCCAGAACACGGAAAATTGAACTTTTCGGAAGTCCGTTAACAACAAATTCTTCAGCCTAACTGGTAAGGGGCGAAACCAGTGGCTGGTGAAGCAGGGTTGCACAGGAGGACTCAGTCAGACGGACTCGGGCACACGGAATCCAGACGCGCGGAATCTAGGCCGTGGAATCCAGGCAGAGGGTTGGACCTAGTGAGCGACCGATCGAGCCACCAGGCGAGCGACCGCGGGGGAGACAGCGGGACTGCGGGGCTGCGTGTTGACTGTCGTCGCGCATTTGTGTGTGAGTGGACAGGGGAGGGAGTGGGCGGTTGGACCGGGGCCCGGTGGGTCACTGCGGCAAGCAGCAGTGGAGGGCGCTGCTATTTCCCTGCTCTGACCCCACCTCCACACACAGCGTCATAACCCAGCGACTCTGAGTGGCCCGGCCCAGGTGAACCACCTAAGGTGCTGCTCCTGACCCAGCTGTGAGAAACAGCAGAGGGGGGTCGCCATTTCCCCGCTCTGACCACGCCCCCACATACAGCATCACAACCCAGCGACCTGGGAGTCCAAGGCACCGCTTCTCATACTTAAAGTGCGTGAACAGACCAAAAATGGTGCAAGAAGTTCTCAAAGCCCCAGAGCCTATAAATCTAAGCGATGAAGAAATAGCAAAACTCTCAGATGCACAGTTTAAAACACTGGTGATAAGGATTCTCACAGAACTGGTTGATGATAGCCACAAATTAGACAAACATATGAAGGAGAAACTAATTGAAATGAATGGCATTGCACAGGAAACCAATAGCAATGAAAAGGAAACTGGGACTCAGATCAATGGAGTGGACCAGAAGAAAGCAAATAATGGCCAAACAGAAAAGAGTGAAGAAGCAAGAATTCAAAGAAATGAGGAGAGTCTTAGGAACCTCCAGGACATCTTTAAACACTCCAACATCCGAATTATAGGGGTACCAGAAGGGGGAAAGGCACAGCCACCAGTGGAAAACTTATGTGAACAAATAATAAAGGAGAGTTTCCCCAATCTGGCAAAGGAAATAGACTTCCAGGAAACCAAGGAAGCTCAGACAGTCCCAAAGAAGTTGGACCCAAGAAGGAACACACCAAGGCACATCATAATTACATTAGCCAAAATTAAAATGAAGGAGAGAATCCTAGAAGCAGCAAGAGCTAAGGGGACAGTCACCTACAAAGGAGTTCCCATCAAACTGTCAGCAGATTTCTCAAAAGAGACCTTACAGGCAAGAAGGGGCTGGAAAGAGGTATTCCAAGTCATGAAATCCAAAGACCTACAACCAAGATTGCTCTATCCAGCAAAACTTTCATTTAGAATGGAAGGACAGATAAAGTGCTTCTCAGATAAGATCAAATTCAAGGAGTTCATCATCACCAAGCCCTTATTCTATGAAATGTGAAAGGGACTTATCTAAGGAAAATAAGTTAAAGAAACATGAACAGTGAAAGGACAACAAACTCACAGTTATTAACAACCACACCTAAAACGAAAGCAAACTAAAAGGACAGCTAGATCAGGAGTGGAAACATAGAAATGAAGATCTCAAGGAGGGTTAGCAACAGGGGGAGTGGGAGGAGGAGAATGGGGGAGAAGGTACAGAAAATAAGTAGCATAGACAGTAGATAGAAAATAGATGGGGGGGGGCAAGAATAGTATGGGAAATATAGAATCTAAAGGACTTGAGACACATGGTCATAAACTAAAGGGGGGGTAATGGTGGGGATGGGGGGTAGGGTGGAGGGGAATGAAAGGGGGAATAGAACAATTGTAACAGCATAATCAATAAAAAAAATAAAAAAAAAAGAAAAAGAAAATGAGTTTGACGCCCCTGACCTAGGGCAAGGAGTGTAAAAGAAAGAATAAATAAATGGGATTATATCAAACTTGAAAGCTTCTGCATGGCTACTAAAAACATTAGCAAAATGAAAAGGGAACCAACCATATGGGAAAACATATTTGCCAATGAAACATTGGGCAAGTGTTTGATCTTCAAAATAGATAAGGAACATATATGAATCAGTACCAGAAAGACAAACAATCCAATTAAAAAATGGGGAAATCACCCAAACAGACTCTTCTCTAAGGAGGACATAGAGAGGGCCCACAGACATATGAAAGGGTGTTCAGCATCACTAATCACCAAAGAGATGCAACTGAAAACTACAATTAGACACTGCCTCATAACTGTCAGAATGGCTACCATCAATAAATCAACAAACAGCAAGTGCTGGTAAGGATGTGGAGAAAAGGGAACCCTAGTGCACTGTTGGTAGGCATGCAGACTGTTGTAAACACTGTGGGAAACTGTATGGAATTTCCTCAAAAAACTAAAAATGGAACTGCCTTTTCATCTAGTGATCCCACTGCAGAGGTTATACCCTAAGAATCCTGAAACACCAATCCAAAAGGACTTATGTACCTGTATGTTCATAGCAGCACAATTTACAATAGCCAACTGCTGCAACCTAGGTGCCCATCAGTGAAAAAACCGTGGTACAGTCACATGATGGAATACTACACAGCAGAAAGAAAGGAGGAGCTCCTACCCTTCACAACAGCATGGATGGAACTGAGAGCATTATGCTGAGTGAAATAAACCAGGTGGTGAAAGGCAAATACCATATGATCTCATCTTTAACAGGAAGCTAAACAACAAAACAAACAAGCAAGCAAAATATAACCAAAGACACTGAAATAGAGAACAGGCTGACAGTGCCCAGAGGGGAGGAGGGAGAATAACAGGGGAAAGAAGAAGGGTCTAGTGAAGAAACATGTATGAATGACCCATGGACATGGACAACAGCAAGGGACTGACTGCATGATCAGGGGGTAGCAGGACAGGGGAGAGGAATGCGAAAAAATGGAACAACTGTATTGAACAAAAGTTTAAAAAAAAAGAAGAGGTAAATCTTACTCTTAGCACCAGCATGGATGGACCTGGTGAGCATTACGCTAATTGAAATAAGCCAGTCAGAGAAAGAGAAGTACAGTATGATCTCACTTACACGTGGAATCTAATGAACAAAATAAAGTGATGAACAAAATAAAGACAGAGACATGGATACATGGAACAGACTGACAGCTGTCAGAGGGGAGCAGAGAGGGGAACTAAATGAAAGAAAAGGGAACTAACTAAAGAACAGGTATGCATGACCCACAGACACAGACAACGGTGAGGTGACGTCCAGAGGGGAGGGAGGCTGAAGCTGGGTAGAGATGGGAAAAGAGGGCAAAGTGCAGGGGGAACTATAATAGCTAAACAAGAAAATAAAGAAAAAAATTACTAAGAACTTAGATCTTATGTGAAGTGTTTTTGTCAAAAACGATGATGATGATAATTATAATAATAATAGAGCAGGAGGAAACTTTGAAAGTGATAGGTTCATGACATAGATTGAGGTGATGGTTTTATAGGTATATACTTATCTCCAAATTTATAAAGTAGTACACATTAATTACGTATAGCTTTTTGTCAAAAAAATTTTAAGTACCAGTTTGAAAAAGCCATGTGATATCTAAGTGGAGCTTAGAAGAGACATCCCAACTGGAAGATAATTTGGAACCAGATATGGACAGGTATTACTTGAGTTCAGAAAAGTAAGCTAGAGGTCACATAGCAAATTTGGTCTCAAATCCAGGGTCACCCTTGAGAAACAGTAAATGAGAATTTACTAATCACTTTGTGACTTCCTCTCCTGCTAGTCTCTCTCCACCTTTGAGAAACCTGTTCCAGCAGACAGCAGGGCAGGAGGTCATGGTGATGACTGGGAGGCACTGTCCAATCACTGCTGGCTCAGCCATGGGATTGTGACACAGAGCTTGGTTACTGGGTTACTGCTGGAGGCAGAGACTTCTCTCAGAGCAGCCTCTGCCAGAATCAGATGGTGCCTGTGAGGCTGAAAAATAGAGCTCAGAGGGGGCCTAAGAAAAGGTATGGATGAATAAAATGGGGTCAAGTGGAAGTGCCTCAACATTTGTACTGAACTAAAACATTTAAAATGTCGTCAAATAAACAGAAAGATGAGGGGCATCCAAATACATTGCCAATACCCACAAAAACTCAAGAGGAGTTAATTCATGTAATCCAGACGTCTTTATACAATATAGTTACACAAGTAAATAACCTGAGTAAATGTGCTGAAGATATAATCGACAAAATACACATAGAGGTTGACAGGCTCTCTTTCAGAGTTACAGTTTTGGAAGAACAAGTAATCCAGTTGAGGAATAGTATTACCTACAAAGATCAACATGGAGAACTGTCCTTAAAAATTACAAAATCAAAGATGTTTCAAAGTACAACTATTCAAACACAGCAGGTATACTCCTCCAAGCAAGTACCTGTTAAAATGTGTGAAAGGCATGATACTCATATACTGACATTACCTATGAACAGGTCTTCTCCTTTTTGCCCAGATGATACAGGAGGTTTAGAAGTGTCTCCTGATGCTTCATACTGCTTTGAACTTTATAAAGAAAAGACTGTCCCTGGGAGTGAAGAAGAGAAGGGGGCAAAGCACAAGCAAAAGCAGCACAAAGATCACCCCAATAAACCAGCAAGTGTGCCTCAGACTCAACGAATGGAAGACAACATTTTGGTGTACCATTACCCAGCTGTTTTCAGTGAGGCCTCTTGTTCATATGTGGATGAACCAAATGAAAGTTCCTCATTTTCCAGTTTCCCACTGTGTGAAATCAATCAACTTGTAACGAGAGCTGTAAGAAAGGCGATATCCACCTCTCACTCTATGCCGATGCATGGATCCAGAGAGATGAAAAATTCAATTATGTATGTTAGATACGGAACTGGAAGGGGAGAAGAATTGAAACCCCAACCTCAAACTCATCCTAAAACAAAGGTGTTTGTGAGCCCTACAGCTCCAGCCTCGGCACCGGCATTGCCAGCTGATTGGTTAGCTGCATTAAAAGCTTCGAAGGTGGAAACTCCTTCCTCAAGCATAGAACTCCCAACTCAACTTCCACCACCTGTTTTGGGAACCCCAGCAGCAACATCTCCTGCTGCTTGCCTCCCAGGTGCTCCTGATGGAGATGTTCCAGTTACTCCACCTAAAGGGGACTTCTCTACTCTGGCATCAGAACCTTTTCCGTATTATGAACTGACAACAGATGATCTACTCACACAAGCTGAATATCAGGGCATGCCTCCACCTCTCTCTCCTTCTACAGTCAGCTCACCTAGTGTTCAAACAAGGGCCACAGTTACACATCTCAGTGGCCCTATGTCTGCTGCACAATCACCAACACCTTCAGTTACAAAATTATCAATGTCTTCAATTTCATCATCACCAAGATCTTCACTTTCATCATCACCGAGCTATTGTATCCCACCACCCAGATATCCAGCTACACCATTGCCAAGATCATCAACTCCACAAAATTCAAGTCCACTCTCATCAGTCTCTTCATGTCCACAAACATCAAGATCTTGGATTCCATCTCCAAGAAATTCCCTTTCCCCATCCACAGGAAGTTCAGACACCACACAGTCAAGATGTTCAGAGGCACAGCCATCAAGACCTTCAGCTGCTCAGTCACAAAGGTCTTCAGTGGCACAATCAACAAGGTATTTGATTCCACCCCAATGCAACTCTTCAAGTGTGCAGTCAGCAAAATCTTTCACTGTACAGTCTTTGTTTTCTTTCATACAATCGTCTTCTAGCATTTTAAGCTTACCAGGTCTGTCAGTGACCCCATCTGCACCAGCTCCAGTGAATGCTTCCCTCAGGCAGACTCCACCAGATCTACCAGTAATCACTAAAGTAAAGAATGCACTGATGGAAGCAATAATAAAAGGTATTCTGCTCTACAATACTGAAGATCACTGAGTGCCAAAAGCCAAAATTGAAATTCCTAAAACTGAAGCAAGTTATACTGATTTATCATGGAGTTGTGGGACATAATTTTAGTCAATCAGTGAGAGAGACTAATTGGATGGAGAAAATTAGCAAATAAATAAATCCAACTAAATTAAAAATAACTGTCTACTGTCTTATTTTCTGCTGGTTAAGTCGTTGATAATGATTTGCATTTTCTTTAGAATAGATCCATTATCATCCTTGTCCAAGAAACTAAATTAACACTGTCTTCACAGCAAATATTTTAAAGTTTTCTTACATGACATCATTTATTCAAAAGAACAAAAATGTCAGTTCTTAACATAGTTTTCTTTTTTTAATTTATTTTTATTGATTATGCTGTTACAGTTGTTCTATTCCCCCCTTCATTCCCCTCCACCCTACCCCCATCCCCACCATTACCCCCCTTTAGTTTATGACCATGTGTCTCAAGTCCTTTAGATTCTATATTTCCCATACTATTCTTGCCCCCCATCTATTTTCTATCTACTGTCTATGCTACTTATTTTCTGTACCTTCTCCCCCATTCTCCTCCTCCCACTCCCCTGTTGCTAACCCTCCTTGAGATCTTCATTTCTATGTTTCCACTCCTGATCTAGCTGTCCTTTTAGTTTGCTTTCGTTTTAGGTGTGGTTGTTAATAACTGTGAGTTTGTTGTCCTTTCACTGTTCATGTTTCTTTAACTTATTTTTCTTAGATAAGTCCCTTTAACATTTCATAGAATAAGGGCTTGGTGATGATGAACTCCTTGAATTTGATCTTATCTGAGAAGCACTTTATCTGTCCTTCCATTCTAAATGAAAGTTTTGCTGGATAGAGCAATCTTGGTTGTAGGTCTTTGGATTTCATGACTTGGAATACCTCTTTCCAGCCCCTTCTTGCCTGTAAGGTCTCTTTTGAGAAATCCCCTAACAGTCTGATGGGGACTCCTTTGTAGGTGACTATCCCATTATCTCTTGCTGCTTCTAGGATTCTCTCCTTCATTTTAATTTTGGCTAATGTAATTATGATGTGCCTTGGTATGTTTCTTCTTGGGTCCAACTTCTTTGGGACTGAGCTTCCTGGATTTTCTGGAAGTCTATTTCCTTTGCCAGATTGGGGAAATTCTCCTTTATTATTTGTTCACATAAGTTTTCCACTGGTTGCTGTTCCCTTCCCCCTTCTGGTACCCCTATAATTCGGATGTTGGAGTGTTTAAAGTTGTCCTGGAGGTTCCTAAGACTCTCCTCATTTCTTTGAATTCTTGCTTCTTCACTCTTTTCTGTTTGGCCATTATTTGCTTTCTTCTGGTCCACTCCATTGATTTGAGTCCCAGTTTCCTTTTCATTGCTATTGGTTTCCTGTGCAATGCCATTCATTTCAATTAGTTTTGCCTTCATATGTTTGTCTAATTTGTGGCTATCATCAACCAGTTCTGTGAGGATCCTGATCACCAGTGTTTTAAACTGTGCATCTGAGAGTTTTGCTATTTCTTCATCGCTTAGATTTATAGGCTCTGGGGGTCTGAGTTGTTCTTGAGTCATTTTTAGTCTGTTTGGGCCCCTTAAGTATGAGGAGCGGACCCTTGGACCTTCAGGTCGCTGGGTTGTGATGCTGTATGTGGAGGCGGGGTCAGAGCGGGGAAATGACAGCTCCCTCTGATGTTTCATGCTGCAGTCAGGCTGAAGAATTTGTTGTTATCAGACTTCCAAAAAGTTCAATTTTCTGTGTTCTGACTATGTTTTCTGTTGCTATTATTTAGTTGTCTCTAAACTCGGTTGTGTGAGGAAGCACGGCATCTCCACTTATGCCTCCATCTTGGCAGAAATCCTTAACGTAGTTTTTAAAATATTTTTAAGATGAGTAATATTGAAGTTCTGGAGTTTTCAAGGGTCTTTATTTCTGGTACAGTTTAATAGAAGTATCCAAAATGATTGCTTCAATTACATAAGTGTATTCGGAAAGTATGTATGACATGTACCTGTCTATACCTCAAGAGACAAGAACCACTCACCTTTCATTTTCTGTTAAGTAGCATTATTGTGTGGAGAGATTGAGCTATCTCTGGGAATTTAAAGTTTTCTAATTTAAATATGCAGAGTTAATAACTTTCTTTAAATACTGTTAAATATAGTAAGTTTTAATACATTATCTTTAAAAGTAAAAGGAAGCCATAGGATTGAGTGAGCCACCTAAGTTAAGAATATAAAGAAGGTATTCAAGACCTGAGCTCTGAGTACCTCTACAATTCTAAAACATGAGAGGTGGGGGATCCCCAGATGAAAATGAAGATAGATGTTCAGAAATACTGCAGGGGAACCAGGAAACTGGGTGCCAGAGATGGATGACAAAAGTCCAAGTGTGACTATTTCAAAGAGGGAACTGTATCTAATGTTGCACAGAACTGAAGTAAAATCAGAAATACTGGTTTTAGCAGCACAGAGATCTGTCATCTTCGAACAGAACAGTCTCAGTGGGGAGTCAAGAGGAAACAGTAATACATTTGGGATGGTTTGAGTTAGTGCACCAGGAGGAAGAGGGCAAACACGTTTTCCACCAGGCTGGGTTGTGAAGAGATGAAGAGAAGATGGTGCTTGGAAGGGCAGAGTTCATGGGGAGGATGGGGGGGTTCAGAAGGCTTTTGTGTGTGGTGTGAGAAAGAAGAGAGGAGGGAAAAGTTAAATCTTAACCCGATGCTGATGTATCAGTGAACAATTCCTTAAATTGAAACACCAAGGAACAAATATTATTTAGAGACATGAAGAAAAATATCAAAACTTAAACACTTAAATTTACCAACAAGAGAAAATGTACTACATAAACCAAGGAATTTTAAACTAACAATGAGGAACAGTTTGCCCTCTCAGATATCAGTACACTCTACAAAGTTATAATAGTTAAAATAGTATGTTTAGCACAAAACCTGTTACAATATTTTACTAAAATAATATCCCAGAAAGCATAGTCAGGTATATATGGAAATTGAGTATTTGATTGAAATGTCATTTGTAATCAATGTAGAAGGAATGCAAATTTCAAATAATATTGGGGAAACAGTTTAATTTTTTCCTTATTTTTAAATTAAATTTATTGGGATTACATTGGTTAATAAAATCATATAAGTTGCAAGTGTACATTTCTACATTATGTGTATATTGCGTTCTGTGCCCATCACCCAAAGTAAAATCTTCCCATCACCATATATTTGATTCTTTTACCCTTTACTATCCCTCCAAACTCCTGAATTTCAAAAAATGAGGTCCTAACCATACACCACACTCTGAAAATATCAATCAAATCCATTTGATCTGGTGTATCACTTAAAGCTGCTGTCCTTTTTGTTGATTTTCTATCTGGAAGATCTATCCATTGATGCCAATAGGGTGTTAAAATTCCCTACTATGACTATTTCTGCCAATCCCTCCCTTTATCACCACCAAGATTTTCTTTACATATTTAGGTGCTCCTATGTTGGGTGCATAAATGTTTACTAGGGTTATATTCTCTTGTTGAATTGTTCCCTCTATCATTATGTAGTGCCCTTCTTTGTCTCTTATTATAACCTTGGTTTTAAAGTCTATTCTGTCAGATAGAAGTGCTGCTACCCCAGCTTTTTTTCCCCTGTCCATTTGCATGAAATATCTTTCTCCATCCCTTTACTTTTAGTCTGTGTGCATCTTTCATTCTGAGGTGGATGTGGTTCCATCTTTTAGTTTCTAATTTAATTTGTTTCTTCTGATTATAAAATGGAGAGGAGGTACTTGAATAAAGTCACTTAAATATAAATTTGTAGGCCTAAAATTTCACCTAATGAATATTCTAATAATGAATGTGTTTTGTTATAAAAGCAAGATGATAATTGACGCAAGGAGGGAGGGAAAGCCTAGCCAGATGCCACGCCCCCTCAATTTATTTTTCTGCTTTTTAATCTTTCTGCTGCTGCCATCTAGTGTTCTGTGTGTACTGTTTGCATTTGATTTTTAGCATTAACTGAAACCTCTCAGTATTCCTAAATACCACTGCAGGAAAGGATCTGGATATTCTAAGACTTCCCTGTCCAATGTTCTTTCTATTGACACTTCATCACACTGGTGATAAAGCAGGATATAATCACCATAACAGTAGCACCTATTCATGATTGTATATGCAGTTCACAAAGTGCTTTCACACACATGTCATCCCAAATTGTTCCTAATAGCAGCATTTCAATGCTCCAGAGATTACAAATTATCTAAGGCAAATAATCAGAATACCAGAGCTGAAAAGGTTATGAGAGGACAGCTATCCCAGTGGTTTTCCAATCATGTTATTCTCTGCCCTAGGGTCCCTGGGAAATGATTTGGAAGTAGGGATAGAGGTGATGGGATTTCTTTGCCCCACCCCGCACCCCAAAATGCAATGACCTCTTTTACATGTAGCCTGTTTAATTGCTTTCATATGTGTTCTGTGATTTTGATTACAAAAATATTATTTTCCATATAAGAGTTTGTCCACAGCAAGGATTCTACTCCTTAAAAGTTGAAAATCCACTTTATGGGTGAGAAAATTGAAGATGAGAGAGGTTCAGTCATGAGTCAAAGATCCTGCGGCTGTGATTAACTGTAAATAGGAGCATTATCTGCCTGATTCCAAGGCCCGACTTGGCTTCTCAGACTAGGAAGTTGCTTATAATAAAAAATTCAATCCAGGTAGTTAAAAAAATGAAAGATCAGAGAAGATAACGGGGCTTTTTAAAAATTGTGGTAAAGAATGCATAGTACAAAATTTAGCACTTTAACCACTTAAGAGTACAATTCAGTGCCATTAAATACATTTACAATGTATATCCACATTGTATGCACCACTCTGTGTTTTCAGAAATTTTTCATCATCTCAGATAGAAACTCAATACCCATTAAACAGTAACTCCCTGTTCTCTCCTCTATTCAGTCCCTAGAAACCAATATTTTTTCTGTGTCTATAAACTTTGACTGCTCTAGGTACCTCATATG